CCCCAAAACCCCAAAACCCCAAAACCCCTATTTCTGACCACAGAATTGAATTTTCTTTAACTATCAAAGCTATTATACATCAAATTCTTTTTCCTCAGTGCTCTTGCGATCTATAAGGTAACGCCGCAATCATACATTTATCTTGCAGATCTTTCTTGAGAACTCTTGAGGGGTAGCTTTTTCAATAACTTTAGCTTTCTGCATGGTGGTATCAAATCTCTTAATACTTCTTTCTCCTATATATTTCAGCTGGATGCGAACATTTAGTGAGAACTCTACGTGCTCTCTCATTGATCTTATCTATCTTCCCAATTCTTCGGACGGTTCGGAAATCTTTGGTCATTATTCGTTTAGACTCCTGTGACCTCTACTTTTTAAATATGAAGATACCTCTTCTAAGAAGGTCGAACATTTCTTGATGATTAAGGAGTTGTCTATTATAAATTAGTGGTTATGACTGAATCAATTGGGACGATTCTGGCAACCTTCTTTCCATCTTTATTTCTTCCCTAAAAGATCTCAAGATTACTCACCTTTTCATGCGAGATTTTAGGCATTTCATTAAGGAAGTTATCTACGATAGGGCTTCTCTGAATTGTGTGGAAACTTTCCCGATCCCAAGGCCTCTGGTAGTATGCTGGATTAGTAAACACTTTTGAGTCCTTTTTGGTTGATTTATAGATAACTTAGGTTACTCCATGACTCACCCTACATTGAGTCAGCACTTGAAGATCAATAAACTCTCAAGGAGGGCTTAAGAAGGTACTTACATCTTTGACTGGAGACAGATGAGCAAGGGGGTTCACCCCTTGCTTACTCATGCCATTCTTAAATGACTTCTTCTTTACCCTGCCGCTTGGGATCTTCAAGCAAATCAGGCAAGGGTCTTGGGATAAATCTGTGAAGTTTGTGACTTTATTCAGCCTCAAATTCCTTGATTCGCGCTTCTGGGTTTTTACTATTTTCTTCCTTTTAGGAGATTTACTCCTGCTAACTAAATATTAAGGAATAAATACAAGAGAAGTGGAACTTCTTGGGTGATTTTGGCAGTTTTAACATATTTTGAGAGTTATTTTAAGCCCTTTCTTTGAGACCTAGATCAGGATAAAATTAACTATAAATTTTTTGGAAATTAATCATGATATAAAATTTAATTGAGGTTACTTCTCAGGAGTGTTTGCATGGCTAATCGTTCTCTATACGATAAAATCCAGCTATTGCTTACACTTAGCTTGAGAGCTAGTCTGTTTCTCTCTGTTGATCAAAACTTTCTTAGATTAGCAGTAAGACATACCTTTTCTCTGCAAATTCTTTCATTTTGACCATTGTGAACGCTAAAGTTGAAAGATATGAGTACCATCTTGGATAATGTTCCTCGATTGCGGAATTTCAGGCATTAAGCTGTTTGGAGTCTTCTCTTCTTGTGATTTTTGAAGATGGGTTTCGTTAAGATCGATCTATATTCAGTTTCAATGTTCAACCCACGTTTATGTTTAACATTCAATTTTTATAGAGACAAAAGGGGTTTTGGGGTTTTGGGGTTTTGGGGTTTTGGGG